TTGCCCCAACGGCGGCCGCTCAGGCGACTGTCCCGCGCACAGCAACCGACACCACCACCACCACCTCCCCCGACTCCAGGTATGAGGATCAGGACTACACCTGCCCTCACTGCGACCGCATCTTCACCTCACACATCGGCCTGGTCGGTCACTTGCGAATCCATCGCACAGAGACTAGCGAACCAGTGCCAGGAGCACCCACCTATACCCACCAAGCTCGTCTCAACTGCCCACACTGTCCTCGCACTTTCAGGCATCGCATGGGCCTATTCGGCCACATGCGCATCCACGACGACCTGCGGTAGACAACCGCCGGTTACACCACACATTCACTCACTCCCTATCTTCTCCACCACCACCACCACCACCATCACCCCACCAGAAATAAACACTCACACACCTCATGCACCCAACTGCCATCTCCCACACAAGTGGGAAGTCCACATCTCGACTCGGTCCCCATGCGGCTTCGGCTGCACGGGTGACTTGAGTCCGAGACTATCCCGACACGTCAAGCGTCGTGGATAGGAAGGTTGCTGATTGACGCCCGCACTCGGCTCACGCAGTTCGTCGCGTTGTGTGTGTGTGTGTGTGTGTGTGTGTGTGGCTTGGAAGGTTGCCAACTGACGGGGTACCTTGGACCTCCTCCTTAACGGGAGGCGGTCTGAGAGTCAGGCTGCAATGGCTCCTTTTTAATGTGGCCTTTATGGCACTCCCACCACAGTGTGGGATCCGAGCCAGGCGTTGGCGGCACGCCCAGGTGCGGCTTCGGCCGTGCCAGCCTCCAAATCTCTCTTGTGTTGGTTGAAATCCTGGTTATTGTTGTGTGGACCAGGGGGTGTGGTGGAACGCCAAGGTGAGGATCCGTCCGAGCCATCCACCTGCGGCCTCCCTCGTCTCCGGTCTTCTTGACTCTGTCTTGACACCGGGCCCAGGCGGGGGAGGAGGAGAGAGTGTAGGTAGATGCTACGCAAGTCTACTGGCACTATAAACCCCTGCGTAAGTCACCGTCCCTGCTCCCACAATGCAGTCTGTGGGGCACACGGTGGTCATCGTCGAAATCGACGGACGAACTGTCGTGTGTGTGTGTGTGTGTGTGTGTGTGTGTACCCTCTCCCGCAACACCAAGATTGATGACGAAGTCGCCAACAGGATCTCGAAAGCCAGTCAAGCCTTCGGTCGTCTCCGAAACACTGTTTGGAATCGCCACGGTCTCCAACTGAGCACGAAGCTGAAGATGTACAAGGCCGTCATCCTGCCGACGTTACTGTACGGAGCAGAGACATGGACGGTGTACACGAGACAGGCACGCCGACTGAACCACTTCCCCCTCAGTTGTCTCCGTCGCATCCTGAGGCTGAACTGGCAGGATCGAATCCCCGACACGGAAGTACTGGAACGAACGGGAATCCTCAGCATCTACGCCATACTGAGGCAAATGCAGCTGCGCTGGAGCGGCCACCTGGTGCGCATGGACGACGAGAGACTACCCAAACGACTCTTCTACGGAGACGTCGCGACGGGTTCTCGTCGTCAAGGAGGCCAAATTCGCCGTTACAAGGATACTCTGAAGTCCTCCCTGAAGCGCCTGCAAATCAACCCGAACAACTGGGAAGAGCTCGCTCGCGATCGTCCGGCATGGAGGAGAACAGTGAAGACGGGCGCTGCTATCTATGAAGCCAACCGAATCGCCGCCGCCAAAGCGAAACGCGAAGCCCGCAAATCACAACTTCGCCCAGTCCGCAACGCCGCCGCACAACCGCTCCCAACGTGTCCTCGATGTCAACGGACATTCCGGGCACGAATCGGACTTGTTGGACATCTCCGAACCAACTGCACCTCTCGAACTGCTCCAGCCATCGTCCCCCCGCCCGCCTCTTCCTCGCCCTCTCTGCCGCCAACTATCTCTGACACTCCTTCTGCACCACCAATTCAATCCTCCTCGTCCTCGTCGTCCTCCTCCCTCTCCACTGCCCCAGCGGCAGCCGTTCAGACTGCTGTCTCACACATCACCAACACCAACACACCAACTCACATCACCTCTCCCACCTCTCCCGATTCCAGTGATGAGGATCAGGACTACACCTGCCCTCACTGTGACCGCACCTTCACCTCACACATCGGCCTGGTCGGTCACTTGCGAATCCATCGCACAGAGACTGGCGAACCAGTGCCTGGAGCACCAACCTACACCCACCGCACTCGCCTCCACTGCCCACA